GTGTGTGTGTGTGTGTGTGTGTGTGTGTGTGTGTGTGTGTGTGTGTGTGTGTGTGTGTGTGTGTGTGTGTGTGTGTGTGTGTGTGTGTGTGTGTGTGTGTGTGTGTGTGTGTGTGTGTGTGTGTGTGTGTGTGTGTGTGTGGTGTGTGTTGTATTATGTGTATGTAAGTGTGTGTGTGTGTGTGTGGTGTATGTAAATATATTCATGTGTGTATATATATATATTTACTCATTACTTTATATATATGTATTTATATGTACATATATGTAGACATATAACTAGTCAGTGATACATGTTCTTGGTGCATCATGAAGACCTTCAAGAACTTCCAGACAGTCCAATTCATCTACATTTGCTGCCATTTCGGAAACAAAGTATATCTTTAAATCTTTTGTAATTCACAAAGCTAGTGTAATCATTTCCAAATTACTGGAATCCGACATATAAATTATAGATAGCCTAGGTTACCTGGAAGGGGAATGAAATGCATTTTTGCAAAATTATTGGGTATGCATTATAGATATACTAATTAGGACGATAAATTTCATTCAAATCAAGTAAATAACAAATCTTTGTGAATTCGATTGATCCCTTAAAACCATCCTTGACAGTCATGTGTTGTCAAGTGATCGCAAATCTTATATACATGAGTTGCAAGACAGAGCTTTCCAATCTCTCTGGTGATTTATAATGAAATTTATAATTAGTCTAAGCACTGTGATGCCTAACAGACATTGAGAAGTTTGTTGGCCTTTGCTGGAAGCACAGAGGCCTGGAGTCGCTTATGCGAGTTTGGTGGCACAGGTCTTATTTTAACTAAGGAACAGAGTTATTCATTCTAAATGGGGAAAACATGTTTTGTCACTTTCAAAAATCTTTCCTGATATGGAAACTATAGCTGTCAACATTTATTTGACCTAATGTATGTTTATTTTGGCGAGGAGAGACGTTCTTGACACCTCACCCGTCCAGAAATCAGCAATGCATGGGTAAATAGTTTGAAATATGGAGTACTTATAAGATCATTTATGACCTTATGATTATTTGCGATCCAAAAAATACATACGTTGATTTTTTGGGTTTTCAAGTTAATTATAATGCATTTAGATTAGTTTTATTGAGAGATACTTACGAAAGTGGCGATGAAAGAGAGGGGTATATCTGGCTTTCATAGTCGGGCGATGTTCCAATATTTTTTCTACTGCGAATGCCTGGCGAAGCTGAAAATGGTGTTTTGTGGTATGAAAATTTGACCCTTTAGCGGCTGGCAACGCCAGGCAAAGGGAAAGCAGGGTCTTATGGTACCGATTACGTGATCGCCTGGCGAAGAGTCGGGCATTGCCTGACTCTTGTTTTTTATAGTATGGCCCTAAGCCTTTGACTCGTCCAGTTGTGCATGATTTTTATATTTCTCCCCCTTTCCTTTTCCTTCTTTTCTCTAACCCTTTGTTTTCACTTCCTAAGGTGTAAAAGCCATGCTGAAGGGATAAAAGGCTGGCTTTATGTCAGTTCTGAACAGCCTCAGGAAGTCAAAAGGCATAGTATTCCTTAATCTTCTAGCCATTACCCCTCAGAGGAACCTTCAGGGGTAGACTGTTTCACCATAAATGATTTTATATCCTTATTACGGGCATTGATTCCCCCTATATCCCCTTACTCTGACAATGCCTTCGTCTTCCAGAAATGTCTCCAAAAACAAGTAGGTAGTTTTCTTCCACAGCCATTCACAGATCCCTCACACCTGTAATAGTTACATCTGAACCTCAAACTCATGCATTATCTACTCTGACTCCACCCCTCTTCCTTCTTCCCAAGATGTCTCAGTATCCCCCCCAGTTATTTTATCCCCCTACCCCTTACAATCCTACAACTACTAACTCTCTCTAAATCAAATTCTTTTGCCACTCTAAATCCAGATACTCCAGTCTCTACCACTTTCTTGGTGCCTACCCTTCCTTCTCACTTTACTTGTTGCATCAAGATATCTAAACATTCCATCCCAACTTCTACCAAATTTTCTCCTGCATTCACCTCTTCCTATGACATCTGCCTCCTCTACTGTAGGCTACCATGGTTTTAATAAAGGTAAAACTGCACCTCAGCTATAAAGTTACTGGTTAATAGTTTCAACAAATGTAGGATTTAAAATCACCAAGAAGCCAAACAACAGGATCTTTATTGTATATAATGAATACAGTTCCTAAACAATATGTAATCAGTGTACACTCTGTTGAATATCTGTTGCATGGTTTAATACAGATACAGATGTCATACTGTTTAAGCAATGAAATCCCCATATCTCTTATATTCACATGCCTCTGAATCATCTGTTTGAAAAAGATAAGACACAATATGAGACTGATTTAAATTTAGTTTGAGAAAGAGATAGATGAAAATAACATCAAAGATAGGAATAAAGATTTCAGTTTAAACAAAGATATTGTCATGAACATAATGTCTAATTAATTGCAGAAAGAATAGAACAGCTCCAGTGTTTGTATCACAAAGTCGTATTCCCTTTAGTTTACTTTTAAGTATGGAAATAGAAGTATGGCTAATCATTTAACTAATATAAGATATCATTGAAGTTCAGAGGCATATCACTTATGAAAGAAATACATATCCTAAATCCACAAGTTTCTTGATAAAAGGAATGTACAACCATAAAAATAACATTAATATTCTTTCCTATATACTTTCATTATATAAATAAATATAGTTACCTAACCAAGTATTGCAGTTTTCATGACTCGTTATGAGATTTACATGACTAACTTCCCTATAATAACTGCACCCCAAAAACATCACAAGTAACAATAGTAATAAACTACATTATGGGTGTTCTATTAAATTTTTTACACTGTATATATACAAGAAGAGCTTGTACCATATTGTACTTGACAATCACAAGACATCATAGTCTCAGACCAAGATTAATCCTACTTATAAATGATTAATAATATAATAAAAAAAAAAAGAGGAGAAGCAGGTTGACGGAGTGAGAAGGCAGGTTTGAGGAGGAGAAGGAGGTTGAGGAGGAGAAGGAGGTTGAGGAGGAGAAGCAGGTTGAGGAGGAGAAGGAGGTTGAGGAGGAGAAGGAGGTTGAGGAGAAGCAGGTTGAGAGGCAGGAAGAGTTGAGGAGGTTGAGGCAGGAGAAGAGGTTGAGGAGGAGAAGGAGGTTTGAGGAGGAAGGAGGTTTGGGGAGGAGAAGGAGGTTGAGGAGGAAGAAGCAGGTAGGAGGAGAAGCAGGTTGAGGAGGAGAAGGAGGTTGGAGGAGGAGGGAGGAGAAGCAGGTTGAGGAGAAGGAGGTTGAGGAGGAGAAGGAGGTTGAGGAGGAGAAGGAGGTTGAGGAGGAGAAGGAGGTTGGGGAGGAGAAGGAGGGAGAAGGTTGAGGAGTGAGAAGGCAGTTGAGGAGGAGAAGCAGGTTTGAGGAGGAAGAAGGAGGTTGAGGAGAAGGGAGGTTGAGGAGGAGAAGGAGGTTGAGGGAGGAGAGAAGCAGGTTGAGGAGGAGAAGGAGGTTGAGGAGGAGGAGGAGGGTTGAGGAGGAGAAGGAGGTTGAGGAGGAGAAGGAGATTGAGGAGGAGAAGGAGGTTGAGGAAATTGAGAAAGAGGAAAAGGAGGTCGATGGTGATGATTAAAAGGAGGAGGAAAAGGAGGTTGAGGAGGAGGAAAAGGATGTCGAGGATGATGATTAAAAGGAGGAAAAGGAGGTTGAGGATGAGGAAAAGGAGGTTGAAAAGAATAAGGAATAGGACGTTGAGGAGGATGAGGAAAAGGAGGTTAGAGGAGGAGAAGGATTAAAAGGAGGAGGAAAAGGAGGCTGAGGATGAGGAAAAGGAAGTTGAAAAGAATAAGGAAAGTTGAGGATGAGGAAAAAGGTTTAGGATGAGGAAAAGGAGGTTGATGGGAAAATGAGGTTAGAGGGAGGATGAGAAAATGAGGTTAGAGGAGGATGAGGAAAATGAGGTTAGAGGAGGATGAGGAAAATGAGGTTAGAGGAGGATGAGGAAAATGAGGTTAGAGGAGGATGAGGAAATGAGGTTAGAGGAGGATGAGGAAAATGATGTTAGAGGAAGATGAGGAAAATGAGGTTGAGGAAGAGGAAAGGGAGGTTGAGGAGGAAAATGAGGTTGAGGAGGAGGAGCAGGAAATGGAGGTTGAAGAGAAGGAGGTAAAGGAATTAGTGGAGAAGGAGAAGGAAGAGTATAATGAGGAGGAGGTGGAGGAGCAACACAAGGAGAAGGAAGAGCAAAACAGGGAGGAGGAGGAGAAGCAAAAAGGAGGAAGAAGAAATGGAGGAGGAGGAGAGATAGGAGGAGGAAAAAGCAGCAAATTGAGAAGTAGGAGGTGCAAGAAGAGGAGAAAACAAAAAACAAAATGGGGAGGAGGAGGATGAAAAGGAAAAGGAAAAGGAGAAGGATGAAAAGGAAAGGAGACAAAAGAGGTATAAGAGGAGAAGAAAGAAGAAATAGAATTAGAGGAGTAGGAGGAGAAGAAAGAAGCAAACAGAAGTGGAAGAGGAGGAGAAGGAGGAGGAGGAAGTAGATGAGATTGAAGAAGTAGAGGGGAATAAAGAAATAAAGGAGGAGGATGAAGAATCCAAGGAGAAAGAGGATGAAGGATTATATACAAAATGAAGAGGAACAAAAACAAGTAGGAATAGACTAAGAAGGAGGAAAAGGAGAGAGAAGAGGAAGATAAAGAGGAGGAGGTGGAGGAGATGGAGAGAGAAGAGGAAGATAAAGAGGAGGAGGATAATGAGGAGAAGAAAGAGAAGGAGAAAATAGAGTTAACAGAAATTGAGAACCAAAGACAAATGGGAAAAATGTATAAAATAATCATACTACACCAGATGTATGGAATAATGTTCCATTGCTTGTATATACTTTATAAATCAAAACCCCTTATAGTAAAGTAATTAAATGAGATGACAATGGCCAATGAGAATAGAAAAAACATTTTTAAAAATCAAAACAACAAATAAAGAAGTCTGCACTAACCATTCTCTCTGATGCCTCCATTCTCATCGATGGTGAGGTGCTCGGCTAGCTCCGTTAGGCTGCCGTCATGGAAGCGGGTGAAGGTCTGAGACAACCGCCGGCGGATGCGTTTCAGACTCATCTTGCTGTGCTGTTGACACTCAGTTCCAACCAGAAGAGTTCAGAGGAAGAGTCTCTGGCCGGTAAATGTGATCTGTTCCTTGTTTCTTTTCCCTCAAGAGTCTCTCTGATTTTTGCGAATCCTTCCCCTTTATAGCTATCTTTTCTATTTTTCTTTCAATAAAGTACTCCCCAGCTTTATTTTCTAAAAAAACTTCCAGATGATGAACTTTGTCAAAGACTGAAACAATTCATAGTTGTCTAGAACTTGGTCAGTTTTCAATCCCTATATACTTCCAGGGTAAAAAAGTTTATATATATATTCATATATAGTCTTTTCATTTATCACAATCCACTTGTCACATAAGGAAAGTTAATTTCTCTATTCTTTCACTAGGCTACTACAAAAATATCTAAATTATCTGTTTGGTCACAAAATATAAACTATTCTCTTGAGGGGGGAAACGTTCTCTACTTCTAATTTGTAATAATTTTGTAACACTCTTCTAACAGCAAAAAACTTTTACTAGTTTTCAACACTATACATGCATTTGATAACACTTTTCAGTAAGGCACTCGAGAAAGAATTGGAAGCACTCCCACACGCAATATGTATACTCTGTTGCTTACATATATCTATCTTGTACTTGTTCCAACAGGAGAAAGAATTTACATAAAGGCAATTGTTGACTTTGGCAGGTGCTGTTTCTTTTCTTCCTTTTTCTCACAATAGTATGACGCAATAGTTTCCACTTAACAACAATAACATAGTCAACTCTTTGAACAGCTGAGTTTAATGAAGCACAGGCCACTTTACTTATTTCCATAAAATTTGTTCAAGATTTAACTTTCTCAAAAAACGGACTTCATAAAATAAAAAACAACAAAAACTAAACTCTTCTCTTTTTCTCAGGTAATCACAAGGCCAAAAATATTCACTCGTCCTTGCCAAAAGCATTACAATCAACAGCTTGCTAGTTGACCGTCTCTACCATCCCATTTTTGTAAGTGTTCTATTGCATGACCTTCAGGAAACCATAATGGCAAAATGCAGCGTGGTGACCATGGCATAGGGGTGGTAGATAGGCCTGCCTCTCAAGCAGACACATCACACCTGAAAGAAAAAAGCCACAATTAATAGAATTGTTCATAAGAGAGAAAGCAAAGCAAATTAAAAATTATTTCAGAAAAATTTGAGATAGTAGGCCTGTTTCTTTGGCTTTGTCCCTGTCATAAAGCTCACGCTAACACATGTTCAAATAAAAACTCTTCCTCGTCAAAACATTTTCTGGGTAATCTGCCTCCATCCTTGCATGGCATTAAGGAAGAAGTGACTGAGCCAATTATTATTAACTGCATTGTCAATACTATTGACCTTAGTTGGTGTAATACGGATTTAGGCTACCCATCAACTGTGGGTGTATGTACTGTCCACTATAGTTTTAGTGAATTTTGTTGCACAAAGATGATTCCAGACTCTAGTGACTGCACCAGATTTTTTCTTCCCTTGAAATTGTGGAAAAATGTTTTTTTCTTAATGATTAATGGTTAAAAAGCAAAATAAATGTGCTAGACATCACTTTTTTTCTGAAGCTATTCAAATCGATATCATTATTATCACTGACATTACGATTACCAAGTTATTAAAATAACAAAAGAACTAATAAAGTAGTGTCATAAAAATGAATCTCCGAAGTTCATGGAAAGGGGGTAAACAATTCAGAAAGGTAGGGCTAGTAACAGACTCCTTGTTGATATGGAGCCATATCTCTGTAAACACAACTATTAAACTAAAATTACAGCATTCATGGAATGTATATTATGCCATTCACAGTCAATGAGTTAATCACAATCTAAACACAACCCGCATTTTAACTTTGAACTTACAATTCTTCTCCTCCACTTAGCCTTCATGAATATAAAAATTATATGGGTATGAAGGAAGCACTAGATCTTTTTCATCTGAGGATATCATATAACAGAAAATCCTGTCTATTACATACATATGAAGACTTAGGGTACACATTTACATTTATGATAACATAAGACACCACTTGAGACTATATATTCTTAAAGGTCTTAAAGACATAATGGCAATGAATAGCACTATATCAGATTATTATTTTCTTTCTTAATACATATGTGAATCTGTTTAGCTTATAATGACACAGGTATTATAAACATTCTTTAAAAATGATTAATAATAATAAAAAATCAAAGGCTTAAAAGAAGTTACCCTCCTCAATTCTGTACCATATAATAATCAAGAACTTTCATTCCTTACAGAGAAGCAAAATAAGTAAGAATAGCTATATCACACATCACAGAAGAGTGGTTCCCATTTTGCTCACACTCAAGACTCCTCACTCAAATCTCTGAACATGCATGAATACTACTACAATCAGGCACTTTGTTTTTAAACAATTGTCTTAGAAGGAAAAACTATGTTATACTAACTTTAAGCTAACAAAAACAATATTGACCTTATTTTTCTCTCACTACCATCCATCATCAAATGATTAATAATTGGCTGACCAAAGTTTTTATAACACGGACACAGAGAGAGCAAATGTCTTCTAGAACCAAGTCACGTGCGAGTACAAACTAAAAGGCAGATTCAAACAAAAATAAATGCACTGTAACACACACAGAAACAGAGCATAAGAAAATTGTAGTCTGCTCCCCTAGTATAGCACTACACTGTGTTCTCGGTTCTTTAAACCCCTCATTCTACAATCCCCCCCAAAAATATAAAAAATACAAAAGTAGTAATCAATATAATCATCATCATTATCATCATAATCGTAATCATCAACATCAAAATGAATATATAATAATAATAATAATAATAATAATAATAATAATAATAATAATAATAATAATAATAACAACAACAATATTGATAATAATCATAATATCAATAATAATAGTAATCATAATCATAACAATAACAATAACAATAACAATAATAATAATAATAATAATAATAACAATAATAATAATAAGTGTTAAGTGTAAAACTAATGCTGTAATGTTGCAATATTACCCAATTTCTTAAACCAAAAATATAATATCACACAAAATGAATTACTTCATAGTAACTTTGGAAATCTTCCTTCATACCTTCTTGAAACCAGTCTTGTTTCTCAATCAAATCCTCTTGTTCATAAAGAGTTTCAAATAGAACTCTACATCATTTACCTAATGCCCTGATACGAAATTGAAGTGGAGACCTTAAATATTTTCACCAGTTATATTTACGTTGAAGCAGATTTCACATCTGAGACATCTATTCTGACTTGAAATATGTTCCTTGGGGCTTCAAATGCTACTCACAACCCAGTAAGATTGCTTATCAAAAAATATGAGTTCCATGTTGACTGGTATTATCATTATCATCAAAATGATAATTATTACTATCACCGTCATATCATCATTATCATAAATCATCTTCACCATCATGGTTATGGTTACTACTGTTATCATTATCATCATTATTAACATATTCACTGTAGTATTATCCCTTTAATTCCATAATTGTAATAGACATTATTGGTTGAAATATCATCATCATCATCATCATCACCAACCTTATCATCATTATCATTATACCTATCATCACCACCATCATTATCATCATTATTATTATCTTTATTATTACTTTCATTGTCACTGTTATTATCAATTTCATTATCATCACTATCATTATTACCATTACCATTATCATCCTAATTGTTCCCATCATCATCATTATCATTACTATCATTATCATTATCACTGTCATTACCATTATCTTTATCATCATTATCACCACCACCATAATCACATTTCAAAAATCCTGCCTACTAGTGCTATATATATTTTTGTTTCTTTTATATATACTTTGCCTGATAAACTACTGGGTAAGGATAACAACAACCAAAAGTGGACTGATATAAAAGAAAAAAAATCTGGCATGAAACTATTCTGTGTCAAATATTCCTGAGTATATCTTTTAATCCCTTGGCCTTCAAAGATAACTTTTTATTATTTCCTGTGTTGTACTGTTCTGTCAAAATATAGATAACTAAAATATAAACAATACACATCATTTCAGTATTGGTAAGACAACACCAAACGGGTAACAATAAGTATGGTATAAAAGAAAGATGGTAGTACGGATTACAAAGCTAATAATGGAATATTTTGCTACTTTGATTTTCTTATTTCATCCTAAATTTTGTATTAACGGATAATATTGTTTGTCTTCATTTGTTAATACACCCTTTCTGTTATCAAACTGGGTATTAATAGTAAGCTCTAGTTTAGCTCGTAAGATCTCACTTAATTGAACTTTCGTATCTTGAAATATCATTCTCTGCTTCATTGTTTATTTTTCCATTAATATCTAAGGCCTTGTGTTTAATCCTCTATATCCTACTAGCATCCATTATCACAAACATACATATTTCATATCCTTGCTAACAATCACCACTGTCATCAAAAATAGTCATTATAGTTGGGCTACATATAAATAGAACACTGATATATTGTTAAGATCATGCACAACACAAAACAGCACTTGAGAATATAAAAAAAATGTATGCAAAGGATATGTAAGCCCACAAACTCTTACCAAAGTGTATGGATTTACAGATCAAATGATGCTCTGGCCTCTGGCAATGATCAACAGATCTCCACCACATACTTATGGTATGATAAAATTTGTAGATCACCTAGATGATTTATTTCCAAATCAGGAACTAGTGCAAAATCTTTTGAGCTAGAAATCAAATAAATGAGATTAGTCGTCCTAATTGCATGGAGGCAATTGTATTAGTTGATATGGTCCTACTGTAAATTATAAAAAATGAAATGAATGGCGGCAATATTGTTTGCATTCTCTAATAAAATTCTCCTCGGAAAATATTATACCATATGATTAATATTCAATAATAATTTATTACACTACCTTGTGCTGGCCTGTTTCTACGCATAATATTGCAATTTACATTTATAGTCTTCAAATTAGAAGAGGCCTGTTAATTTTTTCTTTAACTTCCTTGTGCACATGTCAAGCATGTATTTGAGTTAACTTAAGCATTCTTAATCTGTTGATATCAGAAGTGCATGCACACATTCACTGTAAACTGTGGCTTTGTTTTATTATCTTTTTCACTGAGATCATTCCACAAGGGCCTAGTTACAAGTCAAACATAGGGCTAGAGATATTTGTGTGTAATAAAATAAAATAAAACAAAACTATAGTGAACAGTGTATACTCCTTGTCACCAATTAGTTATCTGTATTATTCCTTTCTAAGACATTTGCCATACATCAATTATCCAATATGTTCACCAAAGGATTTGAGAATACTGAAACAAGTTTGCTATGGACTCACTTTCAAACAGCAAAGTAAAGTTTAAAGCATTTTGAAGCAAATTCATTTTTCATTTATAGCTGAGATTCATGGTTTTTAAGCCATGGTCCCTAGACTCCTATATGTCCTCAAAGGTAATACAGGAGATTTTTGAGCTTGCCATATTCCCATATTTGAGGAAGAAAGTCTTGCATTTTTTGGGTCATACTGGAATCTATTTAAATGCATACAGAATTACATAAGCCTTTCAATGAGAATTAAAATTCTTTAAAACTCTAAGGAAAATTAATCTGAAGTAAAAGGAGCCTTGGTGATGAAGAGAGTTAGCACCAGTTGCTTAGCTTTAAGATATACATTCACTTTTCTATTAATGACAATAAATAGGAATTTGAAGATAATGACAAAATTATTGAGCAAAAACAAAAATCAAACATATCTGAAATACAGAAGCAAAAAAACAGGTATCTGACTAAGGAAATTAATTTTAAGAAATCTACCAATAAAACAGAAAAGCCACACATAAGACAGACCTGTGACTTCCTTAAAACAGTATATACAGTGAGGTCAACCCTGGTCTATGAACTATATTCTTTTAACAAATGTCTAAATGAGCCACCTAGAAAAAGCAACCCTTGTAAATATCATTGAACTATTCCAATTGTATTTTTCACTTACAGATTGCAACAATAACTGTTTTATGAGTAACTTTCAACCTATCAAAATATCTTGTTCAATTAATGATTTAGGAGTAAAGAGTTTAACTAAAAGTACTGATAAAAGACTTATCTAACAGAACATTTATTGTCTAACAAGAACAACTAAACAGGATAAACCATAAGATTATCAGAAGTGTTTAGAATAGACCTGTAAGAAAAAAAGGACCACACAGAATACAAAAAATCAATAATATTAGGCATTCCAAAATAGTTTAAGTAAGGTAAAGGTACAGCACAGATTGTTTACCAAAATTAATCTATGCTCGTGCTGCAGAGGCCTACCAATCTCCACCATGTATATTCTGGCAAGAATGAGTTTGTTGACCATCTCAGCTGATTTTGCATTAAATATGGAATCTCTGCACTTACAATATACATGGTGGAGCCTTGTAAAACACAAAGACTTCCTAATATATTCATAAAATTAGCTTTATACTCAATTTTCTTTAGTTAACTAATCCTAAGCCAGACTAAGTCAGCCGAAGTTAGATTCAATTCACTTGCGATGCACTAGGTTCAACTAGGCTAAGCTAGGTTATGCTACACTAGGTTGATTAGGTAAAATCATGTTTGGTAAACTCTGCTTAGGCTAGGTCAGATACGGCACAGAAAAACTATACTATGTTTCATATAAAATAAGAACTTATATCAAGAAATGGCATGGTTTTGTTAGTTAGGCTAGGTGGTGTAAGGAAAAATGTGCGTCACACAACTATTGCAGTAGTCAGGTTAGGATTTCAGTGAGTATAAAAATATTATATATACAAGAAAAAAGAAAGCCAAGCAAAAGCCCCTTTCCCTAGGATTCAAAGCCTATCATGAAATGCAGATATTAGATTTCTTTTAGCATTCAAAGATAATAACCTCACATGTCTTGCAAATCATCTGCCAACAACAAAGCTAACAATTTTTACAATTACGACATACTGTATTGGTATCATATCGTCACATGAAAGAAACGGTACAGCCTAATTCGACATTAGTTGAAAACAATTAACACCAACTATATAAATTGTTTTCACCATCATTTAACAGAATCATCACACCTATTACCTGTTGAATGTTCACTCATATTGATTGCAAGTCCCTCTACATAAGAAAGCAAGACATCATTTATTTTTCTTCCCTAAGAGGAATAACACTTCAGTCCTTTTATACTTTCTAAAATAGATGTATCTGGCATGTTAAAAATATTTCTATACAAGGAATAACAAAAATTCATAAACTTTACGTAACTCATCAGTGTTGACTTCTTATATACAGTTAAACTAAATAAAGTGTAAAAGTGATGTGATATGTCCCTTTATCAATTAATATGACAGCGAG